AAACTATCACACGGAACCCATTTGAAAAAGCTACGAGGAAAATTGGCACATAAAAATAAAACCCTCATCTCAAAACTCTATATACTCTATATACTCCCCATGCTCTGTGCATATGAGCAGCATCTAGGTGTCAAATAAAACTGTTTTGCTGCAGAGTTAAAATCCCCCTGTTCAACCCTTCAAGGGATGGCGGATGGGGATTGGGTCCTGGCTGGGCATTTGGCATCTCTCATATCACTAAGAGACGGCTTTAACTGGTTATCTATCTAGTTTGACTAGTCAGTCAACTATTTAGTTTAACTTAATTATTAACTCTGCCAAAGCTTATATAAGGGTTGCAGTTAAAAACTTCGCTGGTCGGTCGCCACCGGCCACGCCCGCACCCTGTGCTTGGATATATTTGATCGCCCAATGATGATGATGCATTCATCCTTCGATGAAGTTAAGAGTAACCGAGCACGAAAAACGCTTCATGCAACCGAATGCGCTTGGAACATTCTTTGCCGACAAGCAAAATAAATGATTGGCTCTGCTCGTTGGATGCATTACGCCTTGGTGCCTGGTTCCAAAGGAAGTATGTCCTTACCGCTCTCACTGAAAATTAACATTCAGCTGCAGACTTGCACTGTGAAAAATGTTTGGACAATGGAACAAGCTGGACCGACCTTCCTTCCATCGCGATGTAATTATAATGTGCATACCCATCCATGTTTTTACGTCGGATTTCTGGCCTTGGGAGGGTTGTGCAAATACCTCCTCACCTTGCCTAGAATGCATGTATGCATGCATGCATGTCCGCACATACCTCCCACTACGTCGGCTGATGGAGGAGCATTTGGGAAATATCGGCTGCTGAGAGCAACGAAATGGGGGGCCCTGTTCACAGCCTGTTTCATCTGAAGCGAGCTAGCCATGAATCCATCAACCCGTTTACTCCGTAGTTGTGCTGACCCTGACCCTCTCCGGAGTTCTCCGTAGTAATTAAGACTGGGCAGTGTCTCCCGCTTTTTAAGTCACGACCACTACCGCCAACTAACTAGTTATCTAGTTAGCTGACCTTGAAATTTTCTTGCAATATCAAGGTTCGAGGAGCGGAAAGGACATCTCGAGCACATTGAAAGGGAAAGCAAGTGATGAATATCTAACAATCGAAGTAATTTTTATCACCATCGGTAGCCCCCGCCTCGATCTTCTTCAGCCTTCTCAAACCTCATCTTCCCCAGCTAGCAGAGTTATTAGGCATCCTAGTTGGTTCACCACGGTTGTTGCTGGCAGTTGTAGCAAGTCTCTGGATAGCCGAAATCCAAGGGAGGGCACCAACAATAATAATAAAAATAAAATAAAAATTAAACAGTGACTCGAATTCAAAAACGGTTGAAATCTTCTGATACCTACGAACCATACTTTGGCCCCCCCCCCCTCCCGTCACCCTTTCTACCGGATTCTGCCTTCAGCCAGATAATAAGGAACCAGGGTTTAAATCTTCGTCATTTTCCGCCCCAGAAAAACCCAAGCGCAAATTTTAGGGCCATGGTTCACAGCCTCTCATAAGGCGTCCATACAACCTCACGTTCATTTCACATATTGAACCAGCTTCCACAGCTCTCATAGACTGCAGTAATCAGGCAGGATTTTCCACTGCCCTGTTTCACCAAAACCTCCAGCAATGGCCATAACGCCCTTCCGCGAGAAAATCAAACGTGTTTTCTCGCGCTCCAGTTCCGGGTCTGGATCCGCGTCCGGGTCTCCCCAGATCACGTCCAAAGATTCAAAGAGTCTGAAACCCAACAACACCAGCCGACGGCACAGCTACGGCCTTGGGCACAAGAACGGGCGCACCAGCAGCAAACTTGGTGCCAGCAGGATTCCCATTGCCGTGAAACCCAGCAAGACCAAATACCGAGCGAACGGGAAGCCGAAGATCGAACTCTACAAGGCACACGAAGTCCCGCGATCGAAATACTGGGGCCCGTTCGACGAAGCACATCTCAGGCGGCTGGCAGCGTATTCGATTACCGACGCGATGTCGCGAGAGCGTAGACCACGGTCAATGATTTCAGAATCGCCATTGGGGACGAGGGTATCGCCTTCGCGGAGAGGCAGTGTAGAGGACGAGGTGGAAATAATGCGATATGCTGCTGGGGGCGCAATACCACCGGATGCGTTCGGCCTGGACGTACAAAATCAGCTGCATCCCTTGGTGGTAGCAACGATGGCAGAAAGAAAAAAAATGGACACCTAGCCACTGAGCGGCTTGCAAGCTTGCAACCCTCCTCCGCACCACCCACCTCCATTCCGTCCCTATCGGGGACAACAAGCCTTACGTCCCAACTTTTGCCAGCCACGCAAATGGGTCCGCATGGGCCTCCACATCAGTTCACGTCACAAACTGAAGAAACTCCCCTCGATCAGTCGGAGACAGTCCTACCATACACCACCACCACCACCACCCTTCTCTTTGAGGCCGTCTTTGCTGTCCGAGAAGATAATCATGTCATCATCCACGCCCGTCACGCCTGAAAATTTACCGATAGCACTAAACGCGGTAAAGATACAATTACGAGTTTACGAATTGTACTTTTCTTGTCTAGGATTTTTTTTTTTTTTGTCGTTTTATCTATATCACTTTTGCTTGGCAGGAGTTTGGATTGTTTTGCCTGCATATGGCCCATGGACAATGGAGCACGCGTGGGCGTTGATATATCATCTGGTTCTGTTATTGCATCCCCTATATGCCGGTCTGCTATTTATAATGATTCACCTATTGAAGTATATCTAAGTAGATCTAGATCTTAAATTAGAATGGGGTGCATACACACATGCAGTGAGTGTTTCCATGGATGCGGGAGTCCGGTCATGATTCGATAAGACTTAATTAAGCGGTTAATTAGTGAGTCAAGATACCAATCTTCTCTCGGTCTCTATTCTGACTGTTCATTTGCTGTAAACTTATCTTAGGAAAAGAGAAGACGTATGTAACATCAAAACGGTCTGCAGCGGGTGGTAATGTGGCGAAGCATCGGATCATGAATAAATCCCGCCTAACCGGAGGTTTTGATATTGTGGGTCGTTTGTTCGGAAATGCCCTAGGAATTCGGGGTTACCCGCGTCCGCAATATTGAGCATTCACACGATTGGTCCTACAAATTGTATGCGCATATACACTCCTAAGCAGAATGGGTATCCCGGCAAAATCATGCGTCGAAAAGGAAAGTAACTAGAGAAACAGCTCACGATTCCTGAGTCGTGCGTAAATCATAAAACCCGCTGAAATGCACACAAGCTCCGCCATGCATAGAATGTATGTATTCGGCATGAAAAAGTAGACCACCGATACCAACGTCTCAAGTGGATATCAAAAGCACCTCCTGAAAAACACAAAATCAAAGCATGAAACTAAAATGGTAAAGAAGGTAGAAAGGAAGAAAAATCATCAATCCACATTGACAGTTCATATCTCACTCTTACTCCTCATGTGTAACCGTCATATCCAAGACCTCCACTCTCCCCTTGCCCTTCGTCTCACCACCAATAAACTCACTAAGCCCCTTGAACGCCCCCGGCTCCGCAAATCCAATGACCTCCCACTCATCTGCGTTCAGCACATCCTGCTCCTCCACCTGTTCAAAGTAGTTTAGGATACGATCCTTCACCGTTCCTGTCGCCTTTGGCGCAGCAGCTTCAACATGGTAACCCTCATCATGCGCCTTGGAATGTGCATGACCTCCCTTGCCCTTCTTATGCCCGCCTCCCTTGGTAGGGGACATGGGCTGGTCTCCACCACCACCACCATAATTAGCCCCACCAGGTCCAGATGCAGATTTGACAGCTTGTTTAAGGATTGAAGTGGGACATGTGATGCGCAGACGCATGCGCGCACGCATGACGGGGATAGGCTGCCAGGCAATCAAAGCTTTCATGGCATCAAGCGCCTGGCTCTTAGCAGACTTGTTCGTCACAACTCCCGTCCATGTTGGTTTTTTGGTCCTCTTGTCATCCTCTTCAGCAGCCGGAGATTCCTGTGTAGTTATTATTAGAGCATCACCGGCAGCAGCAGTAGGAGGAACAGCAGTCATAGTCTCGGTGGTCTTTCCCTTCCTGGCCCCATTGCCAACAATACCACTGCCTCCACCCTGCTGACCGCTCGCGGCACTCAACTGATCTAACGCCTTCGAAATCATTCCAGTGGTATACACGCGCTTTGACACAGGGTCAACTAGCCTCGCACTAACAATTTCGAGAACCTCCTTCTCAACACGCTCGAGGATATCCTTGCGCTCACGCTCACCAACCTGCACCTCACCCTTACGGAGGATCTCCTGAATAATTTCATCGTTGGATGTCTTGGGACCAAAAGCCTTGGATAGTTCTGCGGCCGGGGCGGTTTGGGCCTTGGAGACGGACAGAAAGACGGTGGGAATCTGCAGGACATTATCCAGGTCTGTCTCTGTGCCGGAGCGGTATTCGAGCAGTTTGTTTTTGTAGCAGGCCAGTTCGAAACGCTTTTTGCCTGGATGGCGCGGGAGTGGTTAGCTATTAAAAAGTTAGGAGGGAACGGAGGGGTAGATTTTTAGGGGTTACACTGACCCTTCTTCAGCCGGACAACCGAGACGTTGGTGAATTTTATCTGGTTTGAGGGTTGGATTATGCCTACAGGCATCTTGATGAAAGGAGGGGGGCTCTCAGGATGGCTGCTTGACAGCAGATGTGGAATGTACAGTTTCCGTATGAGACAGTGACGAGGACTATGTCAGCAAATAGAGCTATCTGCTATGATCGTGAAGGGCAACAATCATGAGCCCATCTAATGAAGTCAGATGGGTAAAGAGGGGGTGTTTGTATTACCCTCATCAGCGACTGTTGATAAAGGCGTTGTTGTTGTGCTGTTGGAGGGAATGCAAGGATGCAAACAGAACAAAACATTCACTTGAATTTGACGTCCCCTTGATGCAACTTACATCAGAGGGTGGAAGTTAGTTAAACTAACCGTGCCACGCGCAACTCACCATTAGTGAGTGCGCCCCACCGTAAAGAAAATATCACCGTAACGAAAATCTTCTAGGATCACCAATCTTCAAAAATTAATTAATGGTCAACACCATGCCTATCTATAATATAAAGATTATCTATATACTCATTAGAGTGTGTAGAATCCCTGATAGATTGAGATTCATTAATAACATCATGTTGTGATTGATTGGCATTAAATTTGAAGACTTTAATCCCAACTGACTATAGAGCTCTATTTCTCTCTTTTATTGATTCCTCTTCCTTACAATACTTGATCTTGTGATTGGCATCCTTGATAGTGAGGACCCTCCCTACCTGCATCTGCCTGTGGCTGTTTTTGACAATCCAGCATCTATTCATCAAATAATGAGCAGATAACTCATTCTCTCAGTGCACATTCAATTCTGCCTATATCAGACTCTTCTTGAAGATCTTATCCAATCACTGAGTCAGATCAGATGTCAGAGTGTTTTTCATCTCTTGTATGATATTATCTGCTGCCTTGATTTGATGATGTAGTTTTATGACTATACCTGCAGATGTCAACTGAGAAGATGTGGTGAAGGATCAGATCTTATAGATGGAGTAAAACTGAAGCATTCTTCATCACCATCATAAACAAACAGCTCTGGGCCGTCATCTATTTTATATTGTCTCAGGCATTGAAGGATTACTTCTCATTTGATTGAATAGATTCCACGGTCAGTGAATCTCAGTGAATCCAGCTCTGATGATAACAGGTTTGAAGATTTAATGACAGATACTCTCTAGATTAGCAAGGAACAGCCTCTCATCATATTGCTCATATCTGTATCAAGAAGCCTTGTTAACTGCTTTTGTATGATAATGCTTATATTGCTGGAAAGTCAATCATCAAAAGATTGCAGTAGATGACTTGTATGAGATGAGAATTCAAATATAATATCACTGGTGTGAAACTTATACTGATTGAAGACAGATTTATAGCAGTTGAACCAGTTGATAACAAAACTTATATTCTCATCTGACACTCATTTTGAATTTCATAGGTTTCTGGTTGACCCTCTTATAATCTGACAGACATTTGATGAATTGATACACCCACATCTTGCCAATGATAGGAGGAGGGGTGCCAAAATTGATATGATAACAACTCAGCATTCAATTCACAGCAGCTTTAATATGCTCAACTGTAGGAGGACAAAAGTTTTTATTCCATTGATGAATCCACTTCTTGATCACTTTCTTCTAGCTGTCACTCAACATTTGATTGATCAAAGCTTTCATATTCCTTGATCTCTTTCTCTTAATGTGTCAATACGAAGTTCCATATAGAATTTAGAATTCTCACACCACATCTGTGATTTTAAATTTGGATTTGATTTTATGGTGTCTAATGCCATCTAAATCTGATCTTCCGAATATTTAATATTATTAGGCATGGTGGTGGTGGTTATTGATTTTTGAAGATTGGTGATTCTAGAAGATTTTAGCTACGGTGATATTTTCTTTACGGTGGGGCGCACTCACTAATGGTGAGTGCGCGTGGCACGGTTAGTTAAGATCACAAAATCACCGTATCCCAACTGACTAGATCTTAAATCAAATTATCTCAACGCCACAACGCTCAATTAAATTAAATTAAATTACACTAGGTTGAGGACATCTTATTCTTGTATGACTGAGAGTGCTGCAATTGCTGCAGTGTTGTGGAGTTCATTGGCGTGGTGCAGGCTCAGATGGCTGAGACTCGCAGGGTTGAATAACTGCCTGTTCAATAGGTGCAGCAGATGGAACAATAAGATCCTGAGCTTCATTCCTAGTTAGACCTCCTGCGTGTTGGATTTGATGTCTAGATCTATTCCGCTTTTGCTTCTCTATCTCATTCACATTGAATATATCCTGGTATTGCTTCTTCATAATAGTGGCGCTGACCATGCTATATTTGCAAGCCTTGATAATTTGGTCAAGGCCTTCCACTAAGCCCTGAGTTGACCTTCCATAAGCTCTTTAACCTTGTTCACTTGCTGTTGCAATTGCTGGGGGTCACAGGGTGTTTGAAGCACCCAGGATGACGTTCTAGATCTGCTAGGTGATGGCGTAGGGGTCGCGGAGTTGAATATCCAGCTGCTGGATAGCATATTCAGGCTGGAATGGCACTATTTCATTAGTTTTGAAGCCATTCTGAATGTTCTGAGCTTTGAAAGCTTCCACACAGGCTGCAGGATAAGCTTCTAAGAAATCAATCTTGGAAATAGTATTGATTCCAAGCCGCATTTGCTGTTGGACTAGACCCCCATATACTCACTTTAAAACTAAAAAAATGCTCACATCTAGTGGCTGCAAAAGATGTGATGAATGAGGAGGAATGCAAAGACAGATAATTGTATTATCCTTGCAGATTTGATCAATTTCAGAAGTAAGATGACTGCTGTGTCTGTCCAGAATAAGAAGGATAGAACTGCCAATCTGACATGACTTTGCTTCTAGAATAAACACCTGTGTAAGTCATTTAAGATCTATTTCATCAGTAGTCCAGCTGTTAGGACTAACATCAAACCTCCAGTCATTTGAAAGGCCTTCAAACCAGCCTTCCAGCAGATTTTGATCCTTGAGAATGATGTATGGGGATAGAGACCATCCTGACGCATTGACTGACTCAATTTCAGTCATCCATTCCTGATTTCCAGGCTGTAGAAGCTTTGCCCAGCTGTGATGCTCACAACTAGTATAACTTTAGTAGTAGCACAGAGTCCCATTGCAAAGTCAGTCTCATCAAAGTTGTATATATTCTTTGACAGAATCTTATGCTCAGCAATTTGCACCCTTCAAGATCTTAAATCAAGCCTGAATAACCTTCATATCCTCACATTTTGGCCTGGTCATGATTATAGTATCTGGAGTAACAGGTCTGAAGCTCTGGACAGCATGCCACTAGATTTGACACACAGTTCTTGCCAACGTGGAGGAGGGGAGTGGTAGAGATGGTGGAATTCCATATAGTAAGAAGGTAATTAGCTATATCCTCAACAAATGCCGGCTATGGGGGAAATCCTCATTTAGCTTGATTCAGCACTCATTCAAGTAGCCTATTCTATTCAGCCTGGGTTAATTTGATTGAATTTGCACATAGATTCATGTGAGCAGTCAGGCCATTAGAATCTTCTTTAGAGTAGAGAATGGCACATTAAATACACGTGCAGCTTCATGAATTGAAAATATTTCTTGCTTATTTAAAGCATTTATTGCGAGTTCAAGCCTCCCCTCTCTCGCAAGAGAATTTGAAGCTTTTCCATTGCGAATTGGTGGCATAATTGCGCGTTGAGGTGATGAGTAGTTAAAATGAGAAGATGTTTTGAATTGGTGATCAGCGGTCACTTGGGAAATACATTCACTATCAAGTTAACTACAAAATTGTTATTTCAGGATTAGTCTATTACATCATGAATTTTAGTTCTTTGAATTCTCAAGACTTCTTGCAAAGTGACTCAATTGAAACAGCAGAGCAGCAAGATTAAATGTCCTATGAATGTTCTTTTTAGTCTCATCAAGTTCTCAGTCGCTAGTTAAAGAATACCAGCTGGTTATGCGCAGTGCCACTTTACTAACAAAAGAGAATATGAAGCTGGGAGCTGTCAATGCCAGGCAGAAGTGAAATAGGGAAAACCCACGTACATATATTACAGCTGGAGAAGGTATTCTAACCACCCAAGAAGGATTAGATAGGGCTGCTAGGGTTCGGGAGTTCAATCGGCTCATTGAGAGAAAGGGTTGAGAGGATTCAAAATCTGAGGACTAGAAAGAGAGAACCAGCACAACTGTAGAATAGTTTAACTAATACTGTGTGGGATTGGTCTGGGCTGCTCACGGGCCCAAGAGCAGTTAACTCTATCCCATGTAATATCTATATATATACGAAGTTACCCACCCCACCGAGCAACTATTAGTTGGTTAGTTGGGTTGTTGCTTAATTAATTTGAATTTGGTCAAATATAGAGGTTAGTTTAACCATAGTTAGCTAGCCTGACCCCAGCCAGCCAGCCAATCGGAGCTTGGGCTGCTTGGCTCCTATTCGAAGAAGGTTAGCTGGGTTACCCCGTGACGCAATGCTCAAACGCCGTCATTCGAACCCAGGCAAGTCCTTTTTTTCTTTCACTTTCACTTTCAACCTCAACCTCAACTTCATCCCCCCATTCCGCCTCGATTGAACCTCACCTACGCCGTCCCATCTCATTTGACAGGGCTGCTACGGCACTGAGGCAGCTCCAGTGTTGGTTTAGTCTTTGTTATAGGTATGTCTACTCTGAGTGTTAACCCAGGACCTTGTTAGTCAGATGTGACTGGGATGACTCCTTACCGAACCTTGGTTAACCGTTGTTCCTATTTCAGGCCCCATCGACTTACGACTAGTGCAACAAACAACTCATTACCCGCAGGAGGCTTATTTTTTCTTTCTCAGACCAAGATGAAGTCTCTCGTCCTTGGACTTCTCGTTGGAAGTGCAATCGCCTCTGGGCCACTGCAGCATGTGCTGCACGCACCACCAGAACCGGAGCCGGAGCCGGAGCCGGAGCCGCAAGTTGTGAAAGACCCTTTCGAGGAGCTGCGTGATACCTTCGATCGCCTACGCAACAAGGCCGGAGATATTTGGGATGATGTGATGGATAACATTCCCAACATCATAAGTAACATCCGACCTCCTACAATTCCGCCCAAGAAATTCACGCGTCTCCCGGATTCAGAATGGACCCATATCGTCCGGGGTGCTGACTTAGAGGCACTCTGGGTGGATGATGAAAGTGGGTATAAACACCGTAAGGTCGATGGGAAACTTGCACAATATGACCTGAGAATCAGAGCTGTCGACCCCAGCAACCTTGGTATCGACAACGTCAAGCAGTACAGTGGATATCTGGATGACAATCTGAACGATAAACATCTCTTCTACTGTAAGTCCCTGTCCATCATGAACCCCCCGACACCTTCATTAAATTTATCTAACCGGGATGAACAGGGTTTTTTGAGTCCCGCAATGATCCTGACGGAGATCCTGTCATGTTATGGTTGAATGGAGGGCCAGGTTGCTCCAGCTTGACTGGTATGTTCTTTGAACTTGGACCGTCCAGTATCACCGAAGATATCAAGGTCAAATATAATCCGTACTCTTGGAACTCAAACTCGTCGATTATTTTCCTCGACCAACCAGTCAACGTTGGGTTCTCGTACAGCAGTCAACCCGTCAGTGACACGGTAGCTGCTGCCAAGGACATCTATGCCCTTCTTACACTTTTCTTCACGCAATTTCCCCAGTACTCCACGCAGGATTTCCATATTGCTGGTGAATCCTATGCAGGACACTACATCCCGGTAATCGCTTCGGAGATTATGCACCACAAGGACCGCAACATCAACCTCCAATCCGTAATGATCGGGAATGGCTTAACAGATCCTTATACGCAATATCCACTCTACAGACCCATGGCCTGTGGTGAAGGTGGATACCCTAATGTGTTGGATTCTGAAACTTGCCGATCCATGGACAAAGCTCTGCCACGCTGCCTCTCAATGATTAAATCCTGCTACGATGTCGAGAGCACATTCACCTGCCTCCCAGCTTCCATCTACTGCAACAATGCTCTCATCGGCCCTTACCAGAGTACCGGCCGCAACCCATACGACGTACGAATTGACTGCAAAGGCAATGGCCTCTGCTACCCTCAATTGAATTACATCACCGATTACTTGAATCAGCCATATGTGATGAAGTCACTGGGCGTCGAAGTCGACAGCTACGAATCGTGCAACATGGACATTAACCGCAACTTCCTCTTACACGGTGACTGGATGAAGCCCTACCATCGCCTTGTCCCGTATCTCCTTGCCCAAATGCCCGTCCTCATCTATGCCGGCGATGCTGACTTCATCTGCAATTGGCTGGGCAACAAGGCGTGGACAGAGGCCCTTGAGTACCCAGGCCATACCAAATATGCTCAATCTCCAATGGAAAACTTGACTATGGTCAACAGCGAGGGAATCAATGAGATTTTCGGCGAGGTGAAGTCTCACAGCAACTTAACCTTCATGCGCATCTTCAAGGCCGGACACATGACCCCGTTCGACACACCTCAAGCGAGCTTAGAATTCGCCAACAGCTGGTTGAGTGGTGAATGGTCGGAAGTATAGTCTTCATAGATCCCATTTCGATATGTTCCATATTGTACCCCTTAATTTTCAAATAAACTAATTAGATTTATATACTTCGAGGTTGGAGGGACCCAAATTATCCCGCCCAGATGTTATCTAGCTTTTATTACATCGGCACTTTCCGGGAACGTTTTATCTGCAGATTTTGTTATGCGCAGTTTATATACGTTATTTGCTTCCTGTGCTTTTGACTTTTATTCGTGTTTATTTCGCGGCGTTGCTTTTTGTCATGTTGACTTTTTCTCGGGGCTCATCATACTCGCAAGAGCCACAGGGCATCGGTGCTTATTAACTAGTATAACTTAGAGGAATAACATAACCCGTATGCGTATAATTTTTATTCCCAGATAATCTCTGTCATCTGGTACTTGGTGTAAATTATCAACATATGCATCCGGGCTTTATACAGTTTTACATCTTACTCTAGACTCTACGGATTAAATAACTAGATCACATCTTTCCGAGATGCCAGATTTAAAGGGTTGCCTAGCCTTAACTACAAAACAGGGTGAAACGCATCAATCTGTCGTTTGAAGGATTTACTTCAACCTAGGGTTGCCTACCAGCTACCGCCTAAAGAAGCACACCATAGTAATACTCCCCACGACTCTAAACCAGAAGTACGTCAGTCTTAAGACTTTCCTTAAAATGATAAGAAACCTTAGGATGCCATATTTGTGGGTTGAAGACGCGGTTCACCACTCTCACATTGTCCGTTGGAAGAGATCTGTTACACAATCACACAGCGTGAGAGAATGGGTGGATGTGCGCAGTAGAGGCAAAATCAAGAGAAGCGACGACTCATAAAATTGAGAGTTCATTTTCCTGCACATTTCCTTACAAACCGCGAAACGATGGTTCAAGCAATCATTTTGCGGAATAACCTATAAAATGAGAGAGAAAAAAATTATATGAGCGAGAAAAATAGCCATACAAAACAAAAACATCATGAAATTTGAAGAATGGATCAATTCATCCAATTTTTTTTGTTTTGTTTTGTTCTTGTATATTTGTCTCCATTCGACTTAACCCGATTGCACTCCATGAATGTCCCGGCAAAAACAAGCCATATGGAAAAAGGACACATGGAGGAGGACAGGATACGATTCCCTCCTTCCCACATCCACACGCAAACCCCCCAACCAACGCACCAAAACAAAAGAAAAAAATAACAAAACAGCAAGAAAGCAAAAACTACACCGCTTAACCCTTCTTCTTGCTGACACCGACAGTGCGCCCTCTCCGACCAGTAGTCTTGGTGTGCTGACCACGGACTCTGAGACCCCAGTAGTGACGCAGACCGCGGTGGGCGCGGATTTTCTTCAAACGCTCCAGATCCTCGCGAAGCTTGGACTCCATCTGGTTAGCAAGAACCTGTGTGTCCTTGCCGTCGGTGATGTCGCGCTGTCTGTTGAGGAACCAGGTGGGGATCTTGTATTGGGTGGGGTTCTGGATGATGGTGACGATGCGCTCGAGTTCTTCGGTGGTGATTTCTCCGGCGCTATTTTTGGGAGGTTAGTATTTACAAATACATGTGTAGGTGTGTATCAGTGTATAGGAGTTTTGTGTAGAAATGGAAGAAAGGAATGGGTTCGTTTTTCGATGAGCACTGGGGCGGGGTTGAGATGCATGGATCTGGAAAGGAAATCGTCTTGGTTCGTTGAGTTGTATTTTGTATTCCCAGCCTCAATGTTTCTTTTCCTTCCTTTCATTTTTCCCTTCCCTTCTCTTTCTTCATCTCCAGCCCTTCCAATATCAAAACTCTCCAGTCCCCAATTTGCATCCCGAACAAAAAAAAAAACCATTCCAAATCCCACACCCAATTTCAATCTCATCCCGCATAATCACACAGCAACCAAGTCTTAAAAAACAAGAAAAGAGAAATTCGCTCACCGCTTATTCAAATCGACATCAGCCTTCTTGCAGACCAAGTTGGAATATCGGCGCCCAACTCCCTTGATCTTCGTCAAGGCATACATGATCTTTTGCTTGCCATCGACGTTGGTGTTGAGAAGACGGAGGATGAACTGAAAGTTCGTCTTCTCACCGGACACGAGCGCTATATGTGTTCACATAACCGCATCGGTCAGTCATTCCGTTATTCTCCATATCCACATCTAGTACTAGTTCCAATATTGTTCTTCGTGGCGACAAGGGGCAGGCAGGAAGTAATACGTACACATGACGGGCGATATATGCTGTGCGCAGAGCGGTATATCGTCGCTTGCTTGAAGGGGACGGGGTGAGCTGGGCGATGCTGTTGGTGGTTAGCAGTTTGTCGGTCGTCGGTTCGTTTGAAGAATGTTTGCGTTGTGGGATCGAAAATTGTCGCCTAGCTGGAAAGGGACTAGCTCGAACCAGAGCTTGGCTTCGCTTGAGTGGATTACATAAGCAACCGTTTCAGTGGGAGAGCGCCAAGACTTTGAATATGGGCGAGCGACAGACTTGGGTGCTACTGGAGCAGCAGATCTGTAGTTACTGAAGATAAAATATGCAAATGACAGTCATTCATAGCAATATAAATATGTGTAGCTATGATGTACACGGGTATTCTTATTACACGCCTACTGGTTCGGAGGAGCTCAGGTCGTGATCTGAAAGATCGGTCAACATATGTGCTCCACCTCGTATATACTCGATTCCAACAGCGACTCCAGAGGGGGAGAAACTTTATTTGTTCTAAACGGCAGCGAGAGGGATGTGACAAGAACTGAGAGAGTCCATCCAGAATAATAACAGTGGTGGTTTCATCGAAGAAGAAGCGAGGAAGCGATATGACCGTTGTAGCTACACGTCCCATCCGTTTAAAATTCTCCATCTTAGTCCACAACAGAAACTCAAGAGGAAGCCCACGGTAAGTGATATGAGCCCGTCAGGTCCCCAAATATCAATACACCGTACCGAAGACAGAATACCATTGGAGCAATTAGTGTGACAAAAGTGCAGAAAGGAAAAGAGGCTAGAGGCGGAAAATATGGAGGAAACATGGCAAAAAGGGGAGAGTTCGTTCCGTCATCATATACTTCGAAAGATTTTCGGAAAGCAGAAAAATAAAAACCAAGAGTATATATATATATATATATATGTGTGTGCCAATCGGAAACTCCGGGAATAGGTGCATAGAGGTCTTTAGGAAGCTCTTTGCGATATCCTCCCAAATGGGGACCAGGAGAAAAAGAGAAATAAAAGAAAAATTAAAATGATTAGGCAAATTCATAAACCGGCGCACGGACAATAACATTACTCGCGCCTTTGCTTCGGACCTCAACAGCAACGAAAGCAGCAAACCTGATGCGGCCACTACTATTATTACTGCTGATGTTGTTATTGTTGCTCGCCGTCGTGGGAGTCGCGGCAGCATTGATACTACCGTTATTACCGTCATTACCGTTATCACCCTCTCTATACTCAACATCATCGCGGTCTCGATCCCGGTCCCGCAAGAGCGAAGAGGCAGATCGCGGATGCTCAGGTTGACCCTGAGGCACACTTGATGGACCAGAATGCGGCTTTTTGCTCATCAATGACCCAAACACTGATTTTTTCCTAGGCTCCTTGGGCTGTATGGAAGTCAGAGGCGTGTGTCCAGAGTGCGTCGTAGAGGAAGACGAGGAGTCTTTTAAATTCTCCCTATCCACATCCAGCATGGCACTCTCCGACTGAAGGCTGGGCTCGGCACCCTTGGCTCCTGCTGGCCCCTGATCTATTCGATCGGTAGCAGACTGGGGTTCAGAAACACCGCGGGTGTCGCCCAAGGGGGTAGTGAGTGGCAGGAGCGGTGTTTCCAGTTTCATGTAGACGTTTGATATAGGTGAGCCGGGGAGGAAATATTCTATGGCTATCTCCCTCGATTCAAAGGGGATGTTTGCACAGATGCCAATGGCAAGTTCGACGATCATGGAAACACTGTTCTCCAGGCCCGCAGGTGGTGGCATTCGCAGATGCATCTCCAAGCATGCCGTGAGCTTCTCAACGAGATTTTTGGTGGTATGCAATCGATTCTCTTCCGCGGCCCGGTTCTGCAGCATCTCGCCTAACCCATCCAACGTGGTCCTGCGCCACGCGGAGAGTTTGGCAAGATGGTTTTCCCTATCTTCGTCCGAGGCCACCTTGGCTCCGCGCCGCACGTTCCGCTCGATCATTTTCAGATGACGGCTTAAGTTGGGCTCAAGGCCGGGATGAAAATGCCGGTCGAATATTTCATCTACCAACCATCGACTGAGGCATGCTCGTCCGACAGCTGTCATTTCCTTGGTACCAACGGCGGCTGCATCCTCATTGACGACGCCTTGCAACCAAACGGGGATGCTTCTCCACTCCTTGCGAATGTTGAATGCAAGATTGTTTATTGCACCATCCAGCCGATTGAAGCGGGTCGTATATTCGCTATCATCCAGGACTGTGCGCGACGTTGACATTCGTTGATGCGCTACAGTATTCTGAAGTAACTGAACCTGAGCATCCTTTTCGAAGTAATACTTTTTTACCTTCAGATATTTGGCTTCTGCGTGGCAATCGTCAGTAGGGGTAAGAGACGAGGAAGGCAGGGGTTAAATATTGAAAAGGTAAAAGCCTCCCGTAAAGGTGACGTACGGAGTTCCTCGTGTTTTTGCATCAACACCCGGACTTCGGCATCTGAAAACTCTTCGCGGGATTTAGTGTGAGGTGGTGGGGGTGGGGTTTCTCTCTCCGGGTCTGCTAGGTTTTGTTGTGAATGATTGCCCTTGAAGCTCCCACCTTGAGATAGATTCGCGGGGTATTGAGACTGGCCGCTGCCCAGACCTTCTCGACCTTGACTATGATGAGATGAATTATCCGCAGGTTGGCGGTGCCCCGTCTGTCTTTCCGGTGCTGACATACTTCCCTGACTCTGTGACGGAGCTGCGGTTGGATGAAGTGTCTGTCGAAAAGCTGGTGGTGTCTGCTGGCCTTGGTCGGAGGTTTGGTAGTGCTGGTGAAGTGGTGATGGGGGCGGCCCCACGGACTGTTGTGATGACGGTCGGGCGGTCGCGTGCGGTTCCGCCTGAGGAGAAAATGGCGGTGGTTGGGAAGTTTGATCCAGATAGCCAGCAACGGAGTCACGTCGCGTAGGATAGCTAATTTGGAACTGGGGATTGCGAGGCGTGGGCAGCTGAACTTCTGGGAAATGTTTTCGCTGGAATGAGTCGCTAGACTGGCTTTGCTGGTAAAAAGACTCTTCACTAGACAGTGGATCAGTATTAACTCGCTGAACAGCGCAATTCTCTAGATTGTGATCGAATGTCTGTGAGTCAATATGTGAGGATGATCGGTTGGCAGTCTTTGAGGGGTAGGAGAAATGCTGCTGGTTCGACTGCAGAGATCTCTTGGATAGCGGCATATATGAGTCCGCGGGGTGTTCCTCAGAGGTTTCCGGAGTCGGCTCGGCGATGTGTCCAGCAAGGGTTTGTTTTGGCGAAGCAGCCTGCGCAGCAGCTTTTTTCCGCACCGAGAGATTCCGACCCAAAACCTTAGACGCAGTGCTCGTCGAGTCCTTGGATGATGGAAACCCAAAAATGCTCCGCCTTGACTTGCGTGGTTGGGATTCAAGCTGGTGGGAAGACTCGAGGCTCTGAGGAGTCCAAGACAATTCGGGAGAACTCGCGTCGGGGTTGGCAGAGTTGGAATGGGAGTCAGGGCCTGTCGGGGCGCTTGGAACTAGATTTAGCGTTGGGCGTCTTGAGAAGTTTTGAGAAGTGGACTCAGGGACTAAGGATGAGTAAGACGTAACCGCGAGGCCAGGGATCGGATTGTCGTTAGTCGGCGGTGGCTGATTCTGGCACGCGTAGGCAGAATGAGAGGTTTGGTCGGGTTGATTGTAAGCGTAGTCGTAGCCGTCGTTGTCGACATACGAATAGCGGTTGTATTGGAGAGGGCCACTGTTGTGGTTGAGCGATTTGCCAGTGGATTTTGGAGGGGAATTGGGGGTGGGAGAAGGCTGATGGCACTGCTGCCGATGGAAAGAGAGATGATTGCCGCGGGACCCGTTATCAACAGAACCCACTAGTAACGCCTGCGATTTATTTTTATGGAAGAATTGCATGAGGCTGGGTGCCGACTATGAACGTCGCTGAATCAATATAGCAGAGTAGCACTTAGGTAGCAGTGAAGAGAGGGGAAAGTTCAGAACTCGTTTGGGCGGAGTGTCCACCAGAGCGTGTCTTTACGAGGAGAGTTGCCTCGCAGTCAAGATAGGGCAGCCAGCCAGTGGTTCGCGGACTCCAGAGAACCATAACACCAAAGACACAGCGTTTCCAAGTTTGTGGGGCTAGGGAGGGAGCAGCGGCGGTCAGGAAAAGGGAGAGCTAAATATAACCTAGGAATGTGATGGACGGGTGAAACTGAAGGCGCTGACAGGCTGTAGGCTGTGACATGCATTAAATAAGGGCACAGGGAACAAGTCTGGTTGGCTGCTCTAACTAGATTCATTAGAGGAGAAGGGGGGAAATCCCGCTATGATTCTGGCAGCAGGGAAAGCAACAAGAATGGGGAAGGGAGAAAGAACAAGATATAAACAAGAGAAAACGAAGAAAACAATCCGCCGCTATCCAAGCCAAAGCCCACTAGCTAGCGATGATCCAGAAGCTGTGGGCGGCGCGGGATAGGATAGAAAAGGAGGAGAAGAAAATCTCTTGGGATACGAAAAAGTCGAGGGTTAATAAAGAGGTTTTTGGAGTTGGCCGGGGTGAGGCTGAGGTCACGTTATTTCTCCGCAGCCGGCGCTACAAAACCGTCCATGGTCGTCGTATTAGTATCAACAAATACATTTGCTCGTTCGATGACGATCCGTGGAGGAGATATGGATAGATGATTGCTTTGTCAGATCCCGCAGCATTTAGGGGGGATGATCGAGCTGTGCAAATTCTGCGGCACGGCCCACGACCTTTTTCGTCCTTCATTTACCACTGAAGATCTAGTTCCCACGTATTTATCAATATTCAGGAGACTCGGTATTGTACTGGCCAAACACAAGCATTTGAATCCCAGGAGCAAGTACCTCAGAAATGCCCAGTCCCACTGTGGAGATCTTCAAATCAACCCTTGTTGGAGATGAAACGGAACCCCTAACTCACAGAACAACCCCCTGAGAGTACTTACGTTCAACTTGCAAAAGTTTTATGGAGAGGGAACCTCTTGACGTGCAACGAACCATGGATAGGCCAGGCAAGGCCATGAATCCACTTCAATTGTAGCTAAAAAAAAAAAAAAAAAAAAAAAAAAAAAAAAAAAAAAAAAAAAACCGTCTTTAAATATTACCTTACAGGCTCTTCCAACAAGGTCAAAAATAAATCCTCCCCCGGTATGTCCACAAAAATATTGGCAATGGAGGAGTGTATGAAATATTTTAATCATCGCAGACCTATACACATCGAGATTAATACCAATGATAGAGAAAATGATGTTGGTATACATAGAGAAGCAAAAAGGAAAGATCTAATGCTATTTATCAATCTCTAACAGCAATCACTGCTTTAATCTGTTGGGACATACCCTCAATGATTAGAATAACTTAAAAAAGGTCTTGTCGGCGTGTTGTAAGCAGGCCGCTGGTCACGTGATCTATGATCATATCAACGCGTAGTTTGACACCTAACTCAGATCAATGCAACAACAATGTTCTCATCCAACAGGTTAGACTCTGCATTAGTTCATTGAGATTTAAATATTGCAGTAATTACCTGCTATAGTCGTTCTTAAGCTTATTCTCGATTCAAAAAAAAAATAAAATAAAATAAAATAAGATATAAAAAAAAAAAAAAAAAAAAAAAGGCCGGTCTGTTGAAGATTAGCAGGATTCTGCAGTTCAACCGTCCGTTCAATCGAGCCAAGGCCCTCCTCTCCATACCCAGGTCCATGCCGCCCAAGCAAAGCCTCAAAACGGGAACCTACGCAGGGCACCCGAAGCCGTCACCCATCCCTATATCCAGGGACAAGTGATGAACCTAGCAGTCAAGGAGACGAGCAGCTCACCTCGCCCCCTGCAACTACAATCAAGCAAAAGCACCCTTCATAGAAAGAATAATACAAGCAGCAGTTGACAGCATGGAGCAAGAAAGCTCTTACCCCACTCCCACGAGCACCCCTAGCAATGAGAATGATGAATTCGCCCAGATTGGTGCGAATTTTCTACGCCTGCGAGCCATAGGATTCCCTGAAGAGCAAGCCGCGAAGCTCGCTCGAGAGGTCTGGATGAGGCAGCTAGGCCTGCCCATCGAGTCCTCAACTTCATCATCATCCTCCCAATCACCTTCGTCCGCGTTCAAAGATTTCAAAGATGAATTCGGATATATCGATTTAAAACTCAACAACAAGCTCGCTGGTGAATCTAACTATGCAGCTTGGAGGTGAGAAGTAGAAGGCAAAGCAATCCTTCTACAAGCCAGTGATATTCTCAAAAACTTCGAAGAAACCCAGGTCAAAGACAGGGTGATGACACCAGGATATGGCGATATAAAGAGTCAAAGCTGTGGGAATGCCAATGGAATGGCATGAAACCCCGAACCTCAAACACTCGCACAGTCAAAACTCTGTCGAGAAGACAACAGTGGTGCTGTGAAGGTGGGCAGGGCCGCTGCCCTCTGAAGAGCACTTGAACTGGAATACCAACCTCACTTGGCTGACCTACAGGCCCAGTACTTCGCTAAAATATCCGACATCAATATTGACCAGTACGAGCGTGGCCAGCTTGTCAATGAGATCGACCTTCACGGTTGGTCCCTACCTGACCCCTTCCTTGCACAACGATTTATCAATGGCCTCAAGACCTACGCTCAATCCTATGTCCAACAGTACTTAAAAACCCTACGCCAGGGCCGCCCAAAGACGGAAGTCCCTGTTATCAATCTCAATGAGCTGATCGATGATCTGATCCGCTACTAAAACAACGTTCTCATCCAACAGGTCTCTTGTGTCAATATGTAGTTAATTATTACATATTTTTTTTTTCCAAATTTTTCAAAGCGTGATTGAAGTATATTGTTGACTTAAAAAGAAAAATTTAAGAATGATATTTTCAGTAACGAATAGTAGAACTTTTAGATGAGAATTGATTTACTAATATCTCAATTCAAAATTCTTACCTTCAATAATTTAATTGCAAGTATGAGAAATTATCTCAATTTCCCTGATAGTCTAAAATAATCCATAGAGATGTGAAGAATCAGGCGTTAAAAGAAATACAACATTGATTCATACTTTGATTGAGTAGAAAGCAATGAAAATTGCCAATATTATTGCATTAACAGTAACTACTATTAGTTATATAACTACACAAAATGAAAGGACATCGGAAAGAAGTTCTTTATATGTTTGACAAGTTGAACATCTTGGAATAACAGCTGTATCATTGGCTATTTAACTATAGATTCCATCCACAGATTCCCTCCTGGCAGGTTATGTCCTGATTATCACATAGATGAATTTACCCTTGAGAGTTACATGGCCTGTTATGAAAGACAAAAGTACCAAGCCTCAAAGAGTTCCAGGTAGGAGGCTTCAGAAACAGATCATGGCCGATATTCTTAAACTGCCAATCTGAACATTTCTTCTCCAAGCCCTGTTTCAACCAATAGACAGCCCAACGACAGGCTCCGAATTATTGTGCTTGCTATTTCGCCGCTTTTTCCACTTCCCCTTGGGGAGAGCAAGGCTCCCTCCAGGTGACGACTTGGCGGGTTGAATGTCAACAAAGACATGTACCTGGGCAATGGCCCTCCCAAATAGATCAATGTCAGGATAACCTCCCGTTTCTCTACCACGCATGGGGGTGTTCCGCCCGTCTCTTCCGCTGAAAGCAGTGGACTCTACTGCTAGCTCAGAATGTGATATTCCCGGTTAATCTCATTCTATTTTACCAGCGGCAGAACAACAATTTGTCTTGCAGAAAGTATGTGCGAGATTCTCATCCCTCCGCAATCCGGTGTAATTTGATCGCTGTTTGCTACGGAATATTTCAACCGCGAGGAAAGTTCTCTCAATATTTCCTGATAGGACAAGTGGGAGGAAAAGAAACCACCAATCATCCTTTTCGATTGAATTCAAGATGTTTACGGTCAACAGAAATCATGAGCTGCAAAGAGAAACCTGGCATTCAGCACCTCTGCCCAATATTACCCGCAATTGCTGATTTCTCTTTTTAGCATACAAGTCGCCTTATCAGAGTTGCTCTTTTTCGGTTCAACTATGAAGTCATGGCTGCTGACGCCGAGCTGTTCAATCAGGGATGATTTTTCAGCTCATAAACAGCGGTATGCCGTTCTAGTCACGTCTACCTACTTTTTCGCCTGAAGGGAAGTATTTTGAAAACAGCATAAAGAGGGCCTCATACGAATCTTCAAAGTGACTATAAGAAGTATGCACATATTCTCGGCAATAGGCGGATATGCAAACCCAGCCTCCTAAATCCGCAACTCCCTATGCAGCCAAAGTGTCTGAAAAAAGCTGCTGACAGTTTTGCATGATTTGGTTTATATATATCTACATCGATGTGCTTCGCGGTAGCTAGTAGCCACGATGTTAGACTACATCTTGTGGTGAATTTTTTTTGATTCATTTTATTCGCCCTCGCGGCCGATGCGTAGGGTCCTTGGTAAATGTCTCGGAGACAGCTTCAAAACCATGCCACGACCCCTGGGAGTCATCCTTGTCAATAGTGCAGGGGTATTCATAGTGTCTCTCCACACCTTTTACTAGGCTCATTTCTGCTGTGATTTGTTGAAACAGTATTACTTGAAGTGTGCTGGAGTGGTAGAGATTTTTAAAAAAAAAAAAAAAAGACTGTTTATTGTGACTATCCTCTAATATTCAGCTCCACTCTCGAATACACTGCCGTTCCATTAGGGCTCCGAGAATTGAGCTCTCTTCCCATGTCCGAACATGGTGCTTATATTTGGACTTCTATGCCCTAACCGCTTGGGTAGCTTGCAATCCGCGGTGGAAATAGCACTGGTTTATATGGAGGCGAACAACCCATCTTCCTTCCATCTTTACCCCTCCTCCGCAATTTATTGTACGGATGATCAGAAGGGAAGTTTGAAAGAAAGTCAGCGGCGCAATGGCGAACAGCTACGATTTCATCGTTGTCGGAGGTATGGATTCTCTCACCATCACCCTGGCATGAAGAACATGTCGCTAATGTTTAGTAGCGGGCACTGCAGGCCTTCTGCTCGCCACGCGTCTGGCAACTGCATTACCGGATCACACAGTGCTGGTTCTGGAGTCTGGAAGTGCATACCCCGACAATACACATCTGTGCCAGTATGACAAGTTCCAGGTATTTGAGCGGCCGGATTTGGACCTTGGCTATGTTTCGTCGCCCCAAGCCTTCCTCAGGGATCGAGAAATCCCATATTTCCGTGGAAAGGGACCAGGAGGCTCTTCAAACGTTAACTTCATGGTTTATCTATATGGTTCTGGAGAGGATTATAACCATTGGGCTGAGCTTGTTGGTGATGACTTTTGGAGGTGGGATCAGACCCAGAGGAGATTCAAAGAGGTAGACTGATGTCATGCTCCACCTTCATGCAAACACTGGCCTCTGATTGAAAAAAAAAAAATATAGATAGAGACGTTCCACACAGAGGTTCCTGAGGGTTTGAAAAAGTATGCTCATCCTTTGACAGAGGACCATGGCCAGAAAGGGTAAGTATTTCTAGAAAACCCCGACAAGCCAATATTTTGAGGCAAGAGTCTAGACAAATATAGGCCCCTCCATGTGAGCTTGCCGTCTCATCCGGAGAATGGAATAACGGGAATTTTGGATGCTGCTACGAGATATGGTGTTGGTTTTTCTTAATATAACAAGAGCCAGGACTTTTAACACAATTCTAATTTTCCCATGTTAGATGCCATTAAACCTAGACGTTAATTCCGGGTACCCAATCGGGATATCTATCGCGCCTAGTTCGTCTTTCAAAGGCTATCGCTCTACCAGCGAATCGATATACACCAGCCATCGCCCCGGAAATTTGACTATGGTGACTGATGCAAAAGTTGCCAAAATTACTTTTGAAAACAAGGTTGCCGTTGGTGTCGAAACAATTGATGGCAGAACATGTCCGTGACATTGAACTTCCTCACCCCATCTCGTCTCACTCTGTCTCACAAGTCCACAATTAGTTGTCGCGAATCAGGAAGTAATATTGTCAGCTGGCTGTTTTGACACTCCGAAGATCCTGTTATTATCCGGCATTGGCCCCAAGGAAGAGCTGTCCCAGCACAATATTCAGGTCATACATGATCTCCCTGGAACAGGCAAAAATCTATCGGACCACGTCGTGGTTTGTTTAGGAGCATCATACGCACCAGGTTTCGGCCTCCTCGATCGATGGAAATTTGACTCTGATCCAGATGCCAGTAGAGCCGCGCGGGAACAATGGAGACAAGACGGAACAGGGGTGACAAATCTACATCGGTCTTGTATGATCACAGGATGGTTAAAGGAAGAAGCCATTCTTAAAACAGATGAATATCAGAGCTTAGGTACACTCTCGAAGCAGCACCTGGCTCATGGTTCTGTTCCCCATTATGAAATGATTTTGGGAGGACCTCAGTTTCCTCCGACGTACGTCATTCCGGAGGGCACATCATTTCTATGTGCCGGAGTTGGTCTTATGAATATGCAGTCTAGGGGTGAAGTTACGCTGAAATCCGCAGACCCGAACGATAATCCCATCATTAACCCAAATTACATGTCTCACCCTTATGATCGACGAATGCTGAGCCTTGCAGTCAGGGAAATCATGAAATTTTTCGAATCTGAGGCGATTGAACCGGAATTTACCGGGTATGTACTGGCACCGAAAAGCCAATCAGATGAAGATATCTACGTAGGTTTTCCGCATTTGGCTAATCCTGCTACCTCACCCATTTGTCTACGCATGTAGGATAAAAGTAAGCTTCGATCCATCGTCTAATTTAGCGACTTGAAAAATATAGGAATTCATAGAAGAACAATTACTCCCCGTTTTTCATGCCAATGGTACGGTAAAAATGGGTAAAGCCGATGACCCCACAGCCTGTACCGACCCAAATTTTCGAGTATATGGCGTTGAAAAGTTGCGGGTAGTTGATTTGAGTATCTGTCCAATGACGCCAAAGTGAGCAAAGAGCCTGACATAGTTACATAAACTTCCCATTTATCGCTCTTCTCAGATTGTGAACCATAACTAACAAGCTCAACCATCAGCAACCATCTCCAGGCTACAGCGTACCTGGTAGCGCAGGCTGCTTTCGAAAAAATGATAGCGGAATATAGCGGGGTTAGCCTCCCTCAAGATGGAGGAGGGCATAGCATTCCTGCTTAAATTACCCGCAAGTTACAGTCACTTAGCGAGAACTGGAAGTATCAGGCGGGAAAAAGGAAAGGAAATTATGGCTATTATATCTTTGTTTAATCGCTTATATTTCAATATATGCAATGGTTTGATGACATGTTATTTCAGAACTAGCAATCGACCAATGCAAATTTTGATATTTTCTTCTTTTCCCAGAGCATGACCACAATAAATCATCAAGTTTAGATCTTAGGCTCCCCAGATCTTGGACCCCCGTGGTGGAACGAAATGCCATCACAGAATGATCTTTCTATCGCACAATTTCAACATGCTACGGCTTGGAAGGTTCAAGAGTTGGCAAGTAGTGTTCAAGATCTTGCCGTGAAAATGGAGAACCCATATATCAGAGGAAGGATGAGGGATTCCAAGTTGGCCAGAAAGGGTATATGCTAGGGATGATAGTGGCTCAAATTTAGCACACGGCGATTATACGTCTGACAACATTGTATAGCAGATACTCGAGAGAAGGATCCAATGCCAATAAACTAAACGTAACGTGGTATGAAGACTATGCGAATAGCCGCCTGGGAGTTACATAGCCACATAGGTGTAACAACAGCAAGATGTGGCTTTTGATCCCTTTTTGATCGGTCCTCGAGATGTTTCCTATACGGGATTTTAGAAAGGCTGTGCGACTTTTCTAGGAGTTGAAAAGTTGATTATTTTCTGCTCAGAGTTATCAAGGTTGTTCCATGCTAGTAAAAGAAAATGGAAAAAAGAAAAGAAGAAGAAGGGAAAAAAAAAATCAATACCACGAACAACATCAGTATATATATATATATATATATATCAATTATATTGCGTAGCGGAGTGACGGCTTCAAAAAGTGTCTGTGGATGGCACTGCTATCAGGCATGAAGAAAACAAAATGATCTCCCGTTACAAAAAGCCATTAAACACACACCCAATATGCTCCGGACTCCCAGTCTCCCTTGACCCCCGATTATCCTATTCGGCATTGGCATTGAATAACCAAGTAAATAGCACTCAAGGTTCTTCAAGATCCAAGCCTGATGAATTGAGAAGCAAGGTGCGATTTGGGAGAAATGGGTTGTAACACTGCAGATTCATATGACGTAGCACTGCGGATATTCAAACTCAACGTCGATGTTTGTTTCAACGTCAGGGGCTACGAATTGAGGGAAAGGGTTCGACTTCTAGGATCCACTTTCTTCGGTACGCGCACACAAGTTAAGTGAGACCGTGAAGGAGATGCTTTGCGGATGTCTTATAAAAAGGAAAAACTACAGAGATTAAGTCGATTAAGTAAATATCTAATGTGTTGGGCAGATAACTAGAGGTCTAAACACAGGAATTGGTTGAAGGAAAAGGAGTACCGATGCAAGTCACCGTATCGAAACATGCTTCTCAACCAACGCGCTCTATATTCATGTTTAGCTCACAGCCTCAAAATCACTAAACCACTTGGATTCGGATTCCAACCAGAGGAAAATCAAAAGTCCCAATAACCGTAGTGAAATCAAAATCCGAGCCAATATCTCGTTGTAAATGTAAATAGCCCTAAAACGAATCAGATAGAAATACTCGTGGACACCTGGATGAAACCCAGGAATCCCCCTTTTCCGGTCCCTTTATCCCAACCAAAAAGATTCCCAGGTCCCCGTATATATTATCTAGCGTCATCGATCATCACTTCCGCGACTTTCTGTCCACCCGCACTTTCACACGTCTCGCGCAAATCGGTCGATTCAGATGGGCCCCCTGAACCTAGCAATCTCATCTCATCTGATACTTCTGCTTGCTCCATCAAGGCTCTTCCGGACTTGATAACCAGCGGTGCTGACCCAAACATAATAAGGATAGCAATTAGCATCGTGCAAGCAGGGTCAGCGTAGTACTTGGCCAACGGTTTGTGAGGTTCACGGACTGGTGGAGATTTTGGCGGCGCCTTCCACATCACTAGAGCAGAAATGATCACAGCAAAGTTGTTGAGAGCATCGCCAGCTATATGAAGGAGAACGGCTTTGATGGAAAGGGAGTGATCTAGGTGCTGATGCCTGTGACGACCGGTGTCTGCATCTATTGGGGAGGCGGATAGGGGAGGGCTTAGTTCTGGCACTGAACCACTGTTGTCGTGAGAATGGAAATGGCCATGCTCGCCGAGAGCGAGCGCGCTGATGGCATTCAAGAAGACTCCGACACATCCCATTACCATGACGATTTGCGGATTTGTTATTGCTAAGGCTTTTGTTATTCAAAGTGCCCTGATACAGAGTTATAAAAAGATACAAAACTCACGCTCGAGATGCACAAACCTTTCAATTGCTTGAAGGAATATACCTAGCCCAAGAGCGAGAAGGAAAACGCTGTTGAAAAATGCCGCCAGGTTCGGAAGTATATGAGAACCACGTTGGCTTTTTTGTTCCAAAGAAGTTTGCTGTGCCTCCAGGCTGGACAGGCTTTTCCTTAAACCATTCGTTTGCTCTAGTGTTCCAGCAGGCTTGCAACTTTTTGCCGAATCGGCAGACCACTAATTTGGACAAACATGATGAAATTTACATGTCAGTTCGTTAAAAGACATCCCCTTCGACCATCAGTATCCAGAACGTGTCAAGATGGCATTCCCATAAGCAAGACAAATCCCTCTCTGAAAATGAAAATGGATGGGCGTGGATCAAGTCACCTTATTAGCCAGTAAGGCCACCACAAATGAGAAGACATCACCGATATAGTGGAATGCATCTGCCACGACTGCAACTGAATGCGTGGTAAACCCAATAGCAAGCTCAGCCAAGATGAAAGATACGGACACTCCAATGATGAATAGCAATCTATTTTGCAGGGAGATGCCTGAGGTTAACTTTGGGAATGGCATTGTTGTTGTGGCAGGATTTCCTTGTGCGCTTTTTGGCCAGCCGAGGTCTTTAAGAAGAAGAGCAAGGTCACTCTGATGGCAGGAGGAGGAGGCGGGGGAAATTAAAGAGGCAAGCAAGGCCTTTTCAGTAAATATTAACTGTGTCCTATTGCGTGAAGTATTTCTGACAGAATTGTATAAAAGCCAGTTTCGTGGACGATAGACTCAGGCACTTATGGCTCTCTCCAATTCGGGGTTCGACCAGCGCATCAAGGTGTTAAAACATCCCGGCGCGAAAGCACAAAATTCTTGATACAGAAAAGGGCCGTAAATAAAGGAATTGAGGGGATCAAAAACAAATATAAACTGAGCATCATTATTTCCCCCGCTTCTCCGGCAGAAATTTCCACTGAACCGGATGCAATACCCAAGCTGTCACAGATATTGTAGCGATGGGTATAATCGGCCGTTGACGTTCTCTCTCTTTCTTTTTTTCTTTTTTTTTTTTTTTTTCTTTCTTCTTTTCTTTTTTCCTTTCACACACGAACAGCACAGTAAAACTCGAGGTTTGTATGGAAGCCCAGTCACATGGTTCATGACAGGGTGGTATATTAGGCTGTCCGATGGGTTGCAGAATGTTTCAGAAGTTGAATGAAATCTTCCAAATTCTCAATCTCCGGAATTAATCAGGCAGCAAAAAGGAGAAATTGTGGGAAGAATATTAGTGCGAACGTTTTTATAAGTTACGCATCTCCATGCACGTATTGCGCGTATTGCACGTATTCGGATGAGAAAGATGTTGTGGAACAGATTCTCTGCAGAGAATGAGGGCGAGATCGAAAGTAAGAGCGGGGATACAACCAGCTACTCCGCACAGGGTATATATATATATGTGAAATTGGTTAAGAACTTGAGATTTCTCCGGGCTGAGAATCCGGGCATATAACAGACGACCGGGTTTTCCCTGATCGCCTCAAATCACATACCTCGCCGGGAGCAGAACTCTTCCAGGTCAAGACGAATGCAGACCACGACAGTATTGACAATATCAACAACCGCCATGGATCGAGGCTCGCGTTAGCCTCACCGTGCCAGCGAACAGATAGTTAGTTATCGGCATTAGAGCAAATATCCCTGGATGTGACGTCCTCCAGTCGCTCCGCCTTCAGCATCGGAAAACACTCGTCGGAGATAGTCTATATAACTAGAAGTAAGGCAAGGGTTAGTTAGGGTTAGCCAAAAGCCCCGAGTGCTCAGTAAATAACCAACTTAAGTCGTTCCAGCTAACTAGGTAGTTAACTGTAACTTAAGTCGATCGTCGAAGAGTCGCGAGCAAACTTAATTGGTCGACTGCCTTCTCGGTCGGTGATCTTTGAGTTTAACCAACCTCCTTCGGCTTTGTTTATTATTCGGTCGATACCCTGAGGGCCATTGCTTCGAGATTCATCCCCCAATTTCGAATGATAATTTTAATCATGGGAGAAAGTTTCGATCGGGGCAAGAAAAAACTCGATCGTTTCGCCTAGAATTTCTCCAGCTGGCCGGTCTTTTTGAAACCAGCTACACAACACACACTAGGGCTGTTTTCTTGGTCAGGAAGCAGTCTGCGGTTCGGTTCTTTTCGAAACGTAAATCCCCAGTCTCAATAAGAAACAATTGCAATGCAATACAATGGTAAGTTTCCTTTACAATAATAATCTGCTAAGGAAGTTAAACAGATTGAGATGATATGGAGGGGATTACAAGTAAAAGAGAACCTTATTAATTTGATATCTCTTCGTATCAAGAGAGCAAATTAACTACGGTGGGTACCATGGAAGCAATATAACGAATTTGGAATCAAAAAGAGGGGAATTCCCTACTGACGAACTCTGGTTCAACCCCTACATCATGAACTTCCCACGAAATCAAGGTCTGATTAGTGCCCGCAGCTGGGTTTGGAAGTGATGTCATGGTCACTGGTTGAACGCCAAACCAAACTGGCCAGGGAGGAAGCTTGATTGTTGATGGGAAAACTCTCTGGAAGAAAACCTTCAGAGAAGTTGGGGCGGTTGGCCGACAAAGGAAATAAAACCAACACAGCTCTGCACTGCTGGGCCCTGGGGTGAATCACTAAAGTTTGCTTTTTCTTTTTCTTTTCCTTTTTTTTTTTTTACTACATGTCAATGTTGTATATGGAAAAGATAGCCGCTCCTTGATTCCTCTCTCTCTCCCGCACAACTATCCCGTCGTTCTCGCAAGCACTGGTTCCAATTGCTGCTTATTTTATCAGCCGAAACGTGTAGTTACGCCATGACGCATGCACATTCCATGTATTGCCTGCCCACGCTGTCCATTGAGGAGCTCGACCATGCCCGAATGCGCTGTTTTTCTGGTATTCCTATAGAGAAAGGTGTGTGTGTGCGTGTGTGTTGTGCCCACCCGTTGCATTTAAAATTTAGCTGTGAACAAGCGCGATCGGTTTTGCTAACAAAAAAAAAAAATTAATAAATAAATAAATAAAATAAGCAGACGAACTAAAGGGACAAATGCAGGAAATGGGATGTATTCTGTGTTTTGAGGACCTCAACTGCGACACGAGGTTTCGAGAACTGCCCTGCCAGCACATCTTCCACAAACCATGCATTGACGACTGGATGACGCAACGAGACGCAAGCTGCCCGTTGTGCCGCCG